AAAAAAAAAAAAAAAAAAAAAAAAAAAAAAAAAAAAAAAAAAAAAAACGAGGAGACCTCCTGGGGGTCGGTTCCACCGGTGGTCACGCTTACCAAAAGGTCCCAACAGAAACTAAGATTCTCTCTCAAAGTGCTTCCACTAGCAGATGGTTTTTTTTTTTTTTTTTTTTTTTTTGGGTCCTATTCCCCATGAGGCCCCCAGTGCAGACAGAAGAACTTCCTTCCAGGGTCGGCTGAATCTGGGAGAGTGGCAGAAAATGGCGATTTATCGGTTTTGTTTTTCTGCATTCCTTCATGCAACACGACCACATTCACGCGCTAATCCAATCCGCTTCGCTATTGCGACTTCGCCCCAGATACATGCATGGGACCGAGAACTTTGTACCAAGTGAAGATGAAAATAATGGAGGGGGGGGGGAAAGAAAAAACGGTTTTGAAATTTGAATCCTTTTATTTATTTTTTTGTATATTTGTACATGTCAGCGGGCGTGTCATACTCGCACCAACGTGAAGGTCTCGCCTTTTTTTTTTTTTCCCTTTTTTTTCGTTGGTTTCTTGTTTTGGTTTTCCCTTTTCTTTTTAATTGGATGCTTATAGATTCGGGTCATGGATTCAGGTCTGTTGAATTCTGGGGCGTGGTCCCACTAGCAAAGAGGATCGGATAGAATGCCTGAATCTGGACGAGTTTATGGAGATGTGCAGGAAATCGAGATTGAACTGCTTTTCTGCATCTCTGCGTAAAGCACATCCAGATTCAGGAGCTCGATCCTATCCTTTTTGCTAGTGGGACCTCGGCCCTGGTTTTCGGGCTGAAGGCCCGCCACCTAATTTTGGCTCTGCCAAGTGCTGTTGCGTAAGCCCCATGAACCGAATCTGGGTAAAAGTCCCAGACTGTGACTGGGCTCTGGGCTCTTTCGTGGGCCCAAGTCCGACTGCACCGTTAAGCTTCCTCAATGCCTGAATCTGGACGTGTTTGAGGACATGTGCAGAAATCGCGTGGAGTTATACGACCGCACATCTCCACAAACACGTCCAGATCCAGGCGTTGAGGAAACTCAACGCAGCTAGTGGGACTTGGCCCCTCCACAAACACGTCCTGATTCAGGCGTTGAGGAAACTCAACGCAGCTAGTGGGACTTAGCACGGGTTGTTTGACAGGGAATAAGTAGTGGGACTTGGCCCCTCCACAAACACGTCCTGATTCAGGCGTTATGAAACTCAACGCAGCTAGTGGGACTTAGCACGGGTTGTTTGACAGGAATTCCCGCCCTCGTGTTCTCATCATAGTAATAGATTGCTTGCTCTTTCCCAAAAAAAAAAAAAGAAAAAAAAAAAACACGGGTGACAGGGCAGCGGTCTTGCATTGGCCACTTCTGTCTCTGGACTTCCAATTCCCAAGGACTGAACGGAAGCTGGGTAATGGGTCCTCCCTCCACTACTCACGAAATGCCCAAAATGAGAATGAATCTTTCGCAAGAAGATGAGAAGATACACAGCCGCTGGTTTTGTCTTTTGTGCATGTCGAGGGCAGTGGAGCGAGGCCCATGGTCCCAATTCTTTTTCCGGGGGCGGGGTCCCACTAGCAAAGAGGATCGAATTAGGAGCCTGAATCTGGATAGGTTCTTGGCGCAGATGCAGAAAAACAGATCAGTCACGGTTTTCTGCATCTGTCCTCATACACGTCCAGATTCAGGCATTTCAAGCCAATCCTCTTTGCTAGTGGGACCTCGCCCCGGGCTGTTTGCAGACGGATTCTCGTACTCTGCCCCTTAGGTGTGGTAGTAAAACGAGCTGAGTTTTTCTGGGAAAAAAAAAAAAAAAGCTGTCAGAAACGAAGAATCCGTGTATATATATGACCGGTCAGCAGTGGGAGTGGGACTCTACCCTACCAGGACTACCCCCAATTCAGTGTTTTTTTTTTGTTTTTTTTTTTGCCCTTCTTTTGCCGGAACGTAACTCTTTTGAGTTTGAAGCGACTGTTTCCTGTTTTTCCGATTTTTACCCTCTTCGACTGTCCTTTTTTTTTATTTTGCCCTTCTTTTGTCGTGAGTAACTCCATTTCTCTGGATCCCAACTGCAGTCAAATATCCTATCGGTCGCCAAAAAAACCGGGGGTAAAGTAACTTCAGTAGAGTCTGGAAAAAAAAAGAAAAAAAAAAAACCTTCAGTAGAGCCACAAAAAAGAGAAATAATTGCACTATGGGGCAAGATACAGTTTGCAACTGTACTTCGGGCACCCTACACCTGGCCAGAAAGCTGGGTTGTATACATCGCCCAAACTGCAATTCAAAACTGTATCTTGGCCCATAGTTGAATTATCACACATTGTTGGCGACTCCCGCGCAGTTTCCCAGAAAAAAAAAGGGGTTAACTTCAGTAGTCACAAAAACTATAATAGGAAATTCAATAAGATCCCTGCAAATACAATCCCCGTCAACGCCCAAGTCCCAGCGCCTTAACGTTATGCACGTGCCAGACGACGTTGTGCCCCTCATCATCCCTTCATCACCTATATGATACGATTCTGGACGCTGAGCCGGGATCCCAACACCCTCCAATCGATTTTTTCGACATAAAATGAAAAAAAGATAACCTTAAGGTAACAACCCATCTTCGATCTAATGCTGTCCAGATGGTGGGTGGGTACTCTCCCTGCCTTCCTGTCTCCCGCTCCACCCCCCTCCCCCCCCCCCCCCCCCCCCCCCCCCCCCCCCCCCCCCAAAATTCCACATAGGAGAGGGATCGTTCCCTACCCCACCTCTATCACATCTTTAGTAAGGAAGGTCCCTGTATGAACATATCCTGAACCAGAAAATGATGCAGCACCAGCAACAGGCATTATTAAATTGAATTGAAAATTGAAATTCAAAATCTGATCGATGAAAAAAGAAAAAAAAACATTGAAACTTGAAATTGCATTAAAAATCACGAGAACGATCCGAGTCCTTTTTACCAGTCCATTCTTCTTTTCTCCTTTCCTTAGCCAAAAAAATTATTAAAAACCATTTACAATATTAATTTTATTCCCTCCACTGTTATACACAGTACCAGGGGTACAGTCCAACTTGTACCGGCGACAGGTCAACTTCAATTCCGATGACAGATGAGCAATTTGGTCATCATCCGTCCAGATGACAGATAACAGGGGGGGAAAAAAAAATAAAAAACGATGACAGTAGCATAAGAAAGAAATCATTTAGAAGAACAGTAAATTTAATAAATGATCTAACATTTCCGTTTATTTGGTGGACAAATCATAATTTGATTTTAAATTCATGGCAGACGACAAATGTACCACACGGTTGACAATCGATCGATCGTATTCAATCACCGCAACGTATCTCGCTGCTGGAGGGACCGTGGCCCTTCGATTTGTCCTCCTCACGCTGGAAAAAAAACCTCCCTCTCTCTTCACATTGAAGACGAACAACACGACTTCAGAAAACTTTCCGCAAAAAGTAAATTCCAACTTTAAAGTAAAGTTTAAACACAATTAAAGACTCCATCGCGCAGGTCTTTCTTTTACGTCACTGAAGAGAAAACACTCGAGGAAAATGTCCCGCAAAAAGGAAATTGCAACTTTAAACACAATTAATTAAACGCTCGAGGGAGAAGGTCTTTTTCTTTTTTTTAATGTCATTGAAGAGAAAAGAATCGAGCTGAACAACGCCCCAGCGAGCGGAGTAGATAAGTGACAACTGCCGCCACTCGAATCGTATATGAACCGACGCACCAACCAATCAACCTATGGATGACCAATCAACCAATCAACGTATGGATGACCAATCAACCAATCAACGTATGGATGACCAATCAACCAATCAACCAGCCAACCGTTCTAAGCAATCAACCAACCAACCAAGCAATCAATCAATCCATCTATTAACCAATCAATCAACGAATCGATCAATCTACCGACAGGTCGACAGGTCGCTTGCAAAGTCCTTTCCCCGCGCCAGGCCTCTTTATTTCCTCGTGTCCTTTTGTAGCCAGATTGACAAACATAGAACTCCTCTTCCTCTCTCTCGAGCCGAAAACGTTTTTTTTTTCCCTTCATGAAATTGAACTCCCGTCGTTTCTATCCCACCCGCTGAGATATTATATTGAAAAACATTAATTTCGAAACTAGTTCGAGCTAACAAAAGTCCGCTCGTGACATCGAACACAATTATTAAGGATCAATTCAACCGAATTGAAAGGAACCAATCAAGGTAGCGTAGAAATCATCAAGATAAGTTGAAATCGAAGTTTCAAAGAAAGAATCAGAAGCGGTAATCCATCATCCACTCTCTCTCTCTCTCTCTCTCTCTCTCTCTCTCTCTCTCTCTCTCTCTCTCTCTCTCTCTCTCTCTCTCTGTGTGTGTGTGACAATAGCTACATCAATATGACTGCTACGACGCACGTCAACTCCAATGTCAGGGAAGGGCACTCCAAAGGTCCGACGTGCCTGTATAAGGAAATAAAAAGCTTAGGAGGAGGAGGAGGAGGAGGAGGCTGATGGTGCCGTGTAGCACTCTTAGAGGTAAAAAAGAAAGAAAAAGAAGGAAAAAAAATGTCGAACCTCAGTTAGTTTCGCCCCCACTCCTCCTCAGTATCTCCCCCACTCCACCTCTCTTGAGGGTGCAGGGTGCGTTATCCGACACACTAGGAGCAATTATACTCTCTCCCTTATTCTCTCCTCCCTCCCCCCTCCCCCTCCCCCCGTCACTCCCTCTCTACTCCCTCTCTCTTGGTGTGGTTCATCTCTCTTCCCTTAATTAATTAGCGAAGGAAGAAGGCAATAGCCGCCATAGCGAACGCCAATTGCATCAAAACTGGGATGACAAGCGTAACGGCGCCTGACGGCTGCGCACTCGACGGCGCGGAGCTGGGAACCGTCTTTGGGCSGACTKGTTGAGACGCCTGAGRAAGTTCAGACGGAACCCGCGACGGYCCCTGCGACAGGGAGGGGTCAGCGGRARCARTTTSCAGCGMCCGTCTCCAGTCCTCCCCGCCGCAAACGTCRACGTAGTTGAGCGCTAAGATCGGGTATCCGTTCGTCGCGAGCTGGCGGAAAAACTCCCCCATGCACATCTGATCGAACTTGGAAGCCTCCAGAACGTCAACCATCAGCGCATCCACCTTGCTGCAGCAAGCTCCCGCCTTCCCCGCCCCGTTGCGCATCGAGCTGGACACCATGCTGCAATCGTCCTTCAAAGAACTGAAGTCCACTCCCCGCATGTTGCACACATCCTCCGCAGCCTCGGCGGCATAGACTCTGTATACCAGACCGCACAGGAGAACGACGATCAAAGCTCCTTGCAACGAGCGCGCCATTGTCACTCTTCAACGCCTACAATACCAGAGATGGAGATAGAGCGCCTCTTGCAGAGAGAAAGAAAATGCCGCACAGAGGGTGCACAGGAGAAAGGAGCGATGGCAGGAATAGCGCCCAAGTGCGGAAAAGGTCAACCAGGTCGCAAGCGCAAGCGTGCTAAAAAAGCGAGGGCACTTTCGAAAGGACGGAGTAAAACAGTGCGATTGAACGAACTAAGTGCGGCCTCATGAAGCACATTGATTACTTTCGACGAGGGATCAACAATTTATGTTCTGTTATGTGTGTCTGGGTGTGTGCCTGTGTGTGTGTGTGTGTGTGTGTGTGTGTACACAGGGGGAGGTTGGTTCCGGCAGGACGAGGTCCCACTTGCATTGCATGGGTTGGTTACGTTGGGGCTCGCTCCACTACAGGTAGTCGCGAAATGTGCACAACGAGAGTGGACCTTCCGCTAGAGGATGGAAAGATACACCGCCATGATTTTTGTCTTTTGTGCATGTCGAGAGTAGTGGAGCTACATAGGCGTGTTTTCGTACTCGCCATCCGCCAACATTTTGATTGCATGTGGACATCATATTTGTCCATATGCATTCGAAATCTTGGCGTATGGCGAGTAATGTAACAAGGGCCTAATTTTTCGCGCACAAGCAGGGAAATGAGGAGTGGCCTTCCCCAAAAACAAAAAATACGAGAAAAGAAAAAGAAAAAACAAAAAGGAATGGCCTTCGAGCTTCGGTATTTACCGAAAAAAGTTGAAGTTACGGTGCGTCGCCACGAAGAACTGGCGGGTAGAGGCACCCACCACTCTCGAAATGTGCAAAATGGGAATGAACTTCCCGCTACAACATGGCCAGATGCACCCGCCAGATTTGTCTTTTTCACATTTCAAGAGCGGTGTGGCGAGGCCCTATGTGCTGAACAAACAAAGAAAAAGGACGAGTCTCTGGAACGTTCTAGCGCGCATAACACGGTGCGCCGTTGCGCCGGTGCGCCGTCCGCCCTTGCGCCAGTGGGCGGCGCGCCGGTGCCATATGGAGTGCAGTGGCAGTCGACAACCAGGCGGGTAGAAAAAGTGCGGGCTCACAAAAAAAACAAACAAAAAACAAAAAGAACAAAGTGCGGGCTCAGTGTCTACTCTGTCATCGGCCAACATTTTTCAATTAATCTGAACACCCAGGCTGTCCACATACATTCAAAATAATTAATCTGAACATCCGGGCTGTCCACGTGCACTCAACATGTTGGCAGATGGCAGGCTGGTGCGACCCACTTGTCCTCTACGGGAAAGATGTTCATAATCGGGGTGCGTTATATTCGGGGGACGACTGTAATCCCCGTTGTCCTGCCTGTCCTGCTTGTCCTGTCTCGAGTCTAGAGCGGGATGACACTATCGCCGGTAGTAGTTTTTCGTACTCAATTCTGGACGTGATTGCGGCGAGATGCATCTGCAGCGGGTGCAATTAAGGTCAATTACATGTTGTTCGAGAAATCCTGTGAGTATATATATACGCTGACAATCTCCAACTAACGCGTACGTGTCTCGACGGAGGGCCTCGCCACACCACTCTCGAATCTCGAAAAATTTTAGTTTTTTTTTTTTTTTTTTTTTTTTTTTTTTNTTTTTTTTTTTTTTTTTTTTTTTTTTTTTTTAACTCGCTCACATTTATTCCAAAAATGTCACTCGAGGCCGGGAACCTCACAATTCAACCCGGAGTTATCCTGGCAGCATCAGCCAGTTTAGCTTTCAGTCAAAAGACTGAGGAAAAGTCACCATAGAACCACTGTCTCCCCAAAAGCCAACTAGTCGAGAAACAGAAACAAATAAAAGCAATAGCAAGCCTAACACATCTAACAGCTTAAAGAGGCTTCCTACAAGTGAGAAGAGAAAACAGGCAACCAGACCAGCTAAGTCACTATCTACCTAGCTACAGCAGAAACCCCAAAACAAGAGTGAAAACAAAGGACTTCGCCTGCCTAATTACCGAACCAGGAAATTAACACTGACTGATAAAGGATCCTCCAAAATGAGAGACAACCATAAAACAAAAACAAAAGACCACATTCCACAAAAGACTAAAACCAGCCTAATGATCTATGACTTAGTTTTAGTTTTAGTTTGGCATTAGAACTGTAGTTCCCTCCCCAACCCAATCCCCTTCCCAATACTCTTACCCCCCCAATTCACACCATCTGGCTCCCACCCCTCTTTGTCTCCTCTCCCCCACCATGTCTGCTACCCCAACCCAGACCTTCTGCTCTCTCCTTCACCTATATCCCCAGTCGTAGTTATAGTTGGTTAGTAGTAGATAGAGTAATAGATAATGAGACACTTTCCTTTGCAGAAGATGATGATGACATCCGGTTCCTGAATGGTGCCGTTAAAAGCGAAACTGGCTAATGCTGCCAGAGACTCGATCCGGGTTGAACTGTGGGGACCCCGGCCCCGGCTCTCTTTGTATTTGGAATACAGTCAGAACTTTTCGAGAGGGCGGTTTTCGAGAGGAAAGGGCCCTTCGCCACACAGCACACTCGACATTTTTCCTCTCGAACGTGGATCCTCTCCGCGGCCCGATTCGGTAGTGCTGTGTGGCGGAGCCGAACTCTCGAATTGGATGCATGTCCGGTACGCGCGGGTGCACCATCTTCGAGAGGAGGTTGACGCATGTATACAAGCCATCTTTGCAGTTCGGTGCATTGACAGTGAGGAAGGCTTCCGCTCAGCGCGGAGGCCGTGCTGAGCGGAAGCCTTCCTCACTGTCAATGCACCGAACCGCAAAGATGGCTTGTATACATGCGTCAACCTCCTCTCGAAGATGGTGCATTTTCGAGAGTTGCTTTCGAGATTGCGCATTTCTCCTTAGGCGCACTACCGTCCAAACACGGCCTGACAGCTCTCGAAACGGAGCACGACCTCGAGCGCCGACAGGAGGTATCACGAAAACCACAAAGCTGCAGGCTGGGGGAAAACATCTTTTCGAGAAGTCCTCGAAACCGGCCTTCTGACAGCTCTCGAAAAAATCCGAGGTTTTTTTTTTTCGCGAGGCTGTGTGGCGATGCCCAACTCTCGAATTTTCGAGATTCGAGAGTGGTGTGGCGAGGCCCTGAGGTCCTGAAAACTGTTGGCGGCAGCCCCCACTGGGCCTCGCTCCACTACTCTGCAAATGCACAACATGAGAACATGGAATAAAAAGCAGTCTCTGCTGATGTTCATAGGGGGAGGGGTACTCAGGGCCTCGCCACACCACTCTTGAAAACTCGTTTTCAAGCGTTGGTGCAGCATAGCCACACAGCCTCTCGAAATTTGGGGCAGTCAAGGGCTGTCAGAGCAGCTCTTGAAACCCTTTCAAGAGCAGCTCTCGAAAGATGGGAAACCCCAGCCTGCAACTCGTGCGTTTTCAAGCGTCCTCGGCCGAACCCTGGAGGGACTTTCGATTTTCGAGAGTTGTCAGGCCGTTATCCTGACGCCATTCGGAAAAAACAAAGCTGTATGACTGTCGTTTTTCATCGGTTGTCCAACACCATCGCCCTTTCGAGAGTGCTGTGTGGCAAGGGGCCGGAAACTCTTGAAAACCCAACTCTTGAGAACGACTGACAGCTCTTGAAAAAATTCCCCGTTTCAAGAGTGGTGTGGCGAGGCCCTCAGGGAGGCACAGCGACTGGCCACTCAGATGATGCTCGGTCCCTCTGCTACCGGCTGTCCCCTGGCCGGTGCCCCCCAGTGGGGGATCCACCCTAAGGCTATCAGGCCACCCTGGGCTGAAAAGGCCACCGTTGTCAGATTAGACACAAGATTGAATTTACCTGGGCTGGTTAGTCCCATGATAATACCTCAAGGCCGTCGTCCTTTAMAAARRAAAAAAAAAAAAAAAAAAAAAAAAAAAAAAAAAAAAARAWACACCGCCATATTTTTTGTCTTTTTGTGCATGTGGAGAGTGGTGCAGGGAGGCCCAATGTGTCTCCAAGGGGTGTGGTCCCATTAGGAGTCGGATAGGAATGTGGCCTATCCAGTGTGACACATTAGGAGTCCGATAGGAATGTGGCCGATCCAGTGTGACACTGAGTGGCAGCGGCCTGACAGGTTCACTACGAATTTCTGGGGTGAGAAAACTGGAGAAAGGCAAAAAAAAAAAAAAAAAACAGAGACCTCCCACCTGAAATCACGGCAGAGTGCTTCCCAGCCATCAGATCACAAATGATCTGATGGTGGTGGTTGCAACAACAGTGCAGAAAATAACTGCCACATTTTCTGGAATAAACTCAACTTCTGTCAGCAGTCATCCTGGCGCCCTCCATATACTTGGTGATTGAAGGAGGGCTCCACCCAATGAAATAATTGCACAACGGCAAGCAAAATACTGAAAATCTTCTATCCAGTGGGCCTATGGCCGACCCCGCTCTCTTTTGGGGTTGGCCATGCCCCCAACCGATGGAAAAGATTTTGGCAGGAAGCTTCCTTTGCACCGGCATGCCCAGTGTTAAGGAGAGGAGGAGGGGAACCAAGATCTCCTTACTTTTTGGGGTAATACATGTAAAATACTGACCGTGGGATCACCAGTACTGCACGGCAGGATTTGGGGTCACTCAACTGCCACACAAACTCTTTTCTATCCTATCAGGTTGCTAGTGGGACCATGCCCAAGGTGTAGATAAATCGAGAAATGCTGGTAAAAAATAATAATAATAAAAAAAATCGAGAAATGGTGGTAAAAAAAATAATAATGATAATGTAATAAAAAAAATAATAATAAATGGTGGTCCATTCTCCTATGATGGGTCCTTCTCGACATCCGTTTTTTTTTTTAACGAGACGCCCCCACAGACCTACCACACCACACCATTTCTGCTTTGCGCACCCCCTAATCCCCCCTCTTTTTTCTTCTTTCTTTGTTTCCTTTGCCTGTCCTTTCTACCCGTGGAATTATAAATGAAGCCCAGCATGGCGCCTGTACACGGATGCCACGCAGAAATGGAGAGATTGTCAAATGTTTCTGGAGAAAAAAGGGGGGAGGGAAAAGAGAAACAAGCTGTAGGGGATAGCGCGCAGAGGAGGAAGCAAACTTGCAACTGCATCCATGAGCCTGCGGGCCTAGCTCAGTTGGTAAGGCACAGAAGTTGCATTCAGGAGGTCGTGGGTTCAATCCTCCTTGTCCTCACGTACGTGCCTGGGCAAGCTTGGTGTTCTACCAGCTAGA